AGTCCTTGACGCGTCTTGCGATAGGTTTGGTAGTACCATCTTCATATTTGTGTAGCAGTGCAGCACCCACTCCGTATAAACTTGCGTCAGTTGCTAGAATGATCTCTTTCTCAGGATCATAATGTGCTAAAGCGAGATCTGAGAGTAGGCATTTTTTATTTTCTGAAAAGCCGTCTCGCACTCTTTTGACCAAAACCATTTTTTGTCTTTTTTTAACAATTCGTTGAGGGGGGCTCTTAAATCATACATTTTAGGTATGTATATTGCATAATATTGTGCCAACCCCAGAAACGATTGTAATTTCAAGAACTGTGTCGGGTGCAGGCATGTTTTTAATTGCATCGGCCCTCTGTGGGTCCGGTTTCCTGCCTTCACTGTCTATTACTTGTCCGAGATACGTAATTCTTTCCATGAAGAATTTACACTTCTCGTGGCTTAATTTAAAACCAAAATCTTCTAGTCTTTTGAATATCGCTTTGATGTGCGTTTTATGTTCTTGAACATTTTTACTTTTGACTAGAATGTCATCTAAATAGGCGGTACCAAACTCAAGGCCTGCCAGCATAGTGTCCATCACCTGTTGAAACAAAGCTGGGGCGACTTTTAAACCGAAAGGCAGCCTATTTAGCTTATAAATACCTTTATGTGTATTTATACACAAATATTTCGAGCATTCGTCACTCACTTTAATCTGCAAGTATGCGTCAGACAGGTCGATTTTTGAAAAAATCTTCCCACCATTTAATTTTGAAAAAATATCTTCTGGTGAAGGTAGTGGATAACTGTGATTCTTAAGGCAATCATTTAATCCAGTTGAAAAATCTGCTTTTTACTCTTATTTTTCCATTTTTCTTCTTAACATAAACTGTGGGTGAGGCCCAGTCTGAATGGTCAACCTTAGATATCACTCCCATTTTTTCAAGTCTTTCCAATTCCTTATTAATTGTGTCTAAGGAGGAAAACGGGACGTTTCTCTTAGGTTTGAAAATTGGTTTCACATTTTCCTTGAGTTCAAATTTGACTTCCGTTTTGGTACATAAACCCAATCCCTCAGAAAAAACTCTGGGATATTCTTCTTTTAATTCATTTATGAATTTTTCATTTTAATATTTTTTTTGTTTTTTCGGCACTGTTTATTACATTGCAAAATGAGTTAATCGGGAGTTCAAATAAATCAAAAAGTACTATCCAGTCTATTCCAAAAGACATGAATTAATCCCTTGGACTACATACACTTTCGTTTTTTGCAGTCTTGCCACATAACGAAATATTGCACTTTAATTCTCCCTTAAAGTTTAATTTCTTTCCTGAAACCCCTCTAGCGGTTTTTTTTTGGTTTCAGATAATTTAGGTCTTCCATTTTTTTTTTCCAAGTTTGTTCGTCAATGATGCTTATGTCTGAACCAGAATCCAGTAGGAAAGTAATTTTATGATTATTTATACGTACATCTACGTACTTTCTATTTTTTTCCTTTCTGAATTTCTTTTTCTGATAATACCAGGCTTACATCTTGTAATTTTCTTTTTTTCTTTCGACAAACTGTATATTTATGCCCTTTATTTCCGCACGATTCGCAGAATTTATTTTTGTACCAACATACGTCTTTGGTGTGACCTTTTTTTCCACACGTTTGGCAGAACTTATTTTTGTACCAACACGTGTCTTTGGTATGATTTTTTTTTCCACACGTTTGGCAGAATTTATTTTTGTACCAACACGTGTCTTTGGTATGACTTTTTTTTTTTTCCACGTCTCACATTTTTGTACCTTTTTGGCGTTTGGAGTTTTTCGAGTTTTTACGTGTCTAACATTAGCAACACTTTTCTCCTCAATTTGAATATTGTCCCTTTTTACGTTTATGAGACGTTGGCATTCTTCGGTTACCCTTTGTAATGTTATATTCGAGTCTTGCTCGACCATTACTAATATTCTCGACCTAATTTCTTTATATTTAGGATCAGTTAGTCCTTGAAGAAAAATTAGGCACTTGAATACATCTTTGGTTATTTCTTCTAACTTGAATTGTTCAACCAGAGAGTTCACTGTTCCCGCGTATATCACAAAATCCTCGTTATCTGCTTTAACGATGTTTAGGCATTTGTATCGCGTGTGGAACAGACTATTCCTCTCGTCAAATATTTTTGACAGAATACTTATAGTTTCTTCAAACGAAACTTCTTCTGGCTTTCTGGGCAGTATCAAGTTTGAGTACTTCCTATTCTCGTTTGTCCCTAGTTTCTGTACTAGTAATGTTACTCGTTCCTCATCCGACCAATGTTGACATCTCTTGGTAAATATAGTTTCAAACGTTTAAAGTACGCTGGAAATGTAATGCCCGAATCAGGATCATAAATAAATTCGGATAATGAATTTGTTATTCCTTCGGCAGAAAAAACAGTATTTTTTCTTCTCCAGTCGCCTGCTCCAAAACTTTTTTTCGAGACTTTTTTGCTGTTGCAATATTTGTTGTTGTAAGTCTTGGTGCTGTTTTTTGTTGCTGTTGTTGTAACTCTTGATACTGTTGTTGTTGCTGTTGTAAGCTTGTACACAGCATTTTAGTCATTTCGACTAATTGCTCCATCCTTATTTTAGAATTCGACAAAAACAAAAAAAAAAAAAAAAAAAAAATTTTTTTTTTTAGACAGTTAAACTCTCCACAAACAACTTACAGCCGTAATATTTTTTTACAACCCGTAATTTTTACTTGAATAATTATTGTTAGACCGGCTCGTTTTTGAGTCGCGGTTCAATATATATTTTTCAAATCACAATTTAACAGTAAAAATTCTTACTTTTCAAAAAGTTTCCTTTTGACTTGTGACTCCGCTTTCGAACATCCGTTCAGCGTATATATATTTTTTTTTTTTTTTTTTTCAAGTAAGTACGTTGCACAATCCTTCGTCGCCAACTGTTATAGTTAGGCGTACTAAAAGTTTTTCCGTGTAAGTTTCGAATCCTCGTTAGCCAACTGTTATAGTTAGGCGTACGAAAAGTTTTTCCGTGTAAGTTTCGAATCCTCGTTCGCCAACTGTTATATCTCGTCGCCAGTCGTTATATCTCGCAAAAAGATATAATAACAAAGTAAACCCGAGTGGTGGTTTAAATAATAATACTTTATATCGGAATGTAGGAATGTCAAAATACAGAGACAGAGTAGGAGTAAGCTAACCGAATGGTGTAGTCAACGAAGACCTTTGTTGTCGCTCTCTGTTGATCCTCCCTGGACTGTTTACTGTGGTCGAACTTTATCGGCCACCGGAACGTCCATTTATGGTGAATGGGGAAGTTTTTCCCCAGGTTATTTTTTTTTTTTTTTATCAATATTAACAAATTTATCATCTTAGAGGCTAATATATGGATTAAGACTCCAGGACAGAAATTTATGACTTAAAATGAACCAGTACTGGTTAATGCAGCTTTAAAGTCATTTAAATTTATATATTAATTTCTTTACCTCTTAATAGAAATCTTTTAGGGTATATTTTTAAGAACAGTGGTAACATTAAATTTACTGAATTTATGACATTAACTTTGTGGCAAAAATTTTAATAAATTTCATTTCAGTATCTGTCTATATTTCTGAGATAAGGTATTATGGACACTCCATATTTTAATGTAAATAGTGTTTACACTATTTACATTAAAATATGGAGTGTCATTTCTCATTAATTTTCCAAAGGGAAAAACTTACATATTTTGTCTATTGTAAAAAAATTGTACATATAAAGTAAATTTTCTAATCCATATGTTCATTCTTATGGAATAAATTTTTTATAAGTTTTGTTCATTCATATCATTATTCATTCACTATAATTTTTGTTCATTCATCCATATGTTCATTCTCATGGATATTAGCATTATTTTTTTTATTGAGTTCCATCATTTAAAATAGTTCATAATTGATCTATTTTAAATGTCAGGGAAAATGCATCATCTTCTCTTTTACATTTTTGCACTATTTTTTAAAGAACTGTTATAAAATATTAAATTTACTAAATTTATGACATTAAATATCTGTATCTGTCTATATCTCTGAGATGATGTATTATGACTATTTTCATTATTTACATTACCCAGACTGTTATCTTCATTGCCATATTCACAACATTTTGGACATGTCCTCAAGGACACATAACCCAGTGGATACAGACGTTGGTTAGATCCAGGCCACCACAGCAGTGGTGAACCAAATGGCACATGGAACTAGAACAATTTATCCTGGTGGACGAAATAAAGAGTTCCATTCAAAATTCCAATCACCTGAAGAAGACTGGAATGTACAATGGCCAAAACGTTGTGAATATGGCAATGAAGATGAGGATAACAGTTGGAGTAATGTAAATAATGCAATTAAATATCTGGGATAAAATTCTTAAATATTTTTCTTTAATGTAGTGCAAAACATTGCTTTTTTGTTTTGTATTTACAAAATGCAGTAAAATTAAAATTCAGCATGCTTTTTTAAAATACCTGTTAGAAAAACAAATTATTCATAAAAAATAAAATTTATAATCAATATGTTCATTATGAAGAACAATAACACAGAAAAATATCAATTAACATCTTAACTGTAGGTTCAAATAAAATAAATGAACATCATACTTATTTCAGTTTTTTTAAATAAAAAAAAAAAAAGGGGGTAAAAAGTAAATATTTCTTTTTAAAAAGGTTCTCCAGGCCTCTCTTTGGGTAAAAACAAAGTGAAAGAGTACTAATTTTGGAATCCTTTATGATAAATGTTTGTCATATAACATATTTTTTTCTCATAAAATTACAATTATTATAGTGTGAGGTAACTTAGAAAAAAAAAATTATAAATCATAAAAAGATTATTTTGTGCAAAGGATGAAATGCTTCAGTACAGTTTTCCATCTTGCTATTTATAAACTTAAATAATAATACTATTATGTATTTTTTAGTCCAGTTATTTGATGTTTATAAGCTTATGATTCAGTGACATAAAGTAAGTTTAATCTGATGTTTTTGTTTTCTTTTTCAGAAAAGAAAAAGAAAGAAAAGAAAAAAGCCTCTAAGAAGGTAGATAAAACTAAAAAGAAATCAAAAAAACATAAAAAGTGAGTACATTATTACAAAGTAAATAATTCTTACTTCAGCCTCATTAATAAATATTTCCCTGCATGTGCAATTTAGAATTTAACATATATACTCACATATCATGCAACCTTTGAAGACCTAATTTTGAAGCTGATTTTACTACAGTAAATGGATGAATATTTTGGTCAGTGACATAGCCAGGACCAGTAGTACATATGCTAATTTTGTATCTTGTGTATGATACAACCACCTTAAAATTAGCTTCAAAATTAGATCTTCAAAAGTCACATGATAGGTGAATAAATATAGTAAATGCTTTTTTTTTTTTAATTTTTGTTTGTCTACTTTATATTACATGTTAATATTGTTAGGCAGTGATGTTAATGGAAAATTTTCGCCATAAGTTAAATTATCTGAAAAGAACTAAGAAAATTATAAAATTGCTATTTTTTAATTAAAATTTAACTAAGGTTTTTAATGTTTAATATGTAAAAAAAAAAATATGAATAATATATTTTTCCAAATAAATTATCAATTAAGCAGCTATGTTGAGTGAATTTGAAGAACAAATTTTGTTCTTTAATTTATGCTAATGATTTTGTTAAATTAAAAGAAAAAAAAGCAGGTTCAAATGATTATACTGTATGCGATTAAAATGGGATGCAAAGCAACAAAAACTCAATATAAAGCGGTCATTTGGCTAGATGTCTTTCAGTAAATTCTTACTTCAATAGTAGTCATAAAATTCCATAATGGAAACAGGATCCTTGATGACAACCAAAAACCATTACTGAAGCAGACCTATGCAAAAAAAATGAAAACTAAGAAATTGCACAAGAACTAAAAGAAAATTATGTGCTTTTTGCTCCAAATTGGAAAATAAGTGAAGCTGAATGAAAATGAAAAATTTACATAGTGAAAACATAGTGTTGTAAACTATAAATTTCAAATATAGTAGCTACAGTTTGTGAAAATAATATTGTTAAGTAGAATATCTGCATAAAACTGCAATATAGTTTTACTCTAATCAGTTTGGAGATAATTTCTAGTTTTTGATTCTGCCAACAAATTTATAGAATAATGTAATAAACTTATAAACCTTATCAGCAATAATCTTATATATAAAGTACAGTGTTTGTGCATGTGTGAGTCCAAGCAACTCCTCTGCTCCCACTGGTCCAATTTCAATGATTCATAGCTCATTCCTAGAAAAGTTAGGTGCAGTGAACGATTTTCATTGTGAGTTGAGGGTTGCCATATTATGCAAGGTTAAAAATATATATTAATATACTAGCCATTATCATTGGTTTCATGGTTTAAGGGGCGTAACTCTTATTTTCCTTTTGTATCCAAAATTGCTGCCTTATTGGGTGGCATTTAAGCTAGCTCCTGTGATGGACTCTTGGTTTGGTCATCATCACAATAGCTAGGGAAGAGTAGATGCAATAGGTATCAAACTACCGAAGAACTCAAAATTGATCGCTGCATTTAAGTATTACACTAATGTTTTAAAAGTTCAACAATAATTCTTCTGCTGCCACTTAATTTAAAGATGATTTAATCCTTATTTTCTGTACAAACAATTATTTTTATTTCATGAGTGACAACAGAAGACAATTTATAAGATGAAATTAATATAGTGTAAAGATGGGAAAAAAGAAATTAGAATTAATTATACATTCAGCATTTGAAGAGTTAGAGAAACATAATAGCTAATTAAGTAAAACCTATATTATGGAATCTGTGAATAAATGTGAAATTGGAGCACAGTTATCCAACAAATTCTGGGGTTAAAAAGCCCCAATTCTTCTTTATAATAGGTATTTACTTGACACCAGCTCCCCTAAGTCAGGTTGTGACACATTGTTGGTTTAATGTGGGCAACCTGAGTGTGTACACTCGGGCTAAGGACAAAAATTCACCAATCCCCACAATCATTGGTTGCAAAGGTCTAGGTGTGAGCACCAATCCCTCTCTCTGGTGCAATGAGAAGGTAGAGACTAGTAACCAATAATATCATGTTTTGTTAAATTGTTTATCTACCTCATTTTGATATATAAAAATTATTTCCCTTTGACTGTAAAACCTTGTAAATATACTTTATAGATTGTTCAAAAAGTAATATTGTAAAACCTGCATATAAAGAAGTAGACTAAGTTATCTAAAGATAATTTAATCCAGATTTAGTTTTGATGAGTTGCTTTAAGCTGAATGCAAACTTTTAAATTTTCACTATTTTATTTACTCAACCATATTTTAAAATTTTCCAGGATAAAATTGTGTATTTTCAAAGTTCTGTTTATTTTCATTTATGACTATTTATTAAGCTTAGTTTAACTTTTCAAATGAATGGTTTGTGAGATTAGCTTGTTAGCCAATGAAAGCACCCCTGTTTGTGATAGTATATAGTGGTCTTCTGTTTTTGTTGACTTAAGTATGGTATTCAATTTTGTTCACTTCAGAATGTTAACTTTTCTTGTTTAAACTAATAACTGCATGGCATTTTATCAGAAAGTAAAAGACAGGAAATTACATTGATTCATTTAGTTTTCTTTTCACTTTTCATTCATCTCTGTTGTAGGGTTCTTTGTTTTTTTTTGTTTTGTTTTTTTTTTTGTTTTTTTTTTTTTTTTTTTTTTTTTTTTTTTTTTTTTTTTTTTTTTTTTTGTTTTGTTTTTTTTTTTTTTTTTTTTTTTTTTTTTTTTTTTGTTTTTTTTTTTTTTGTTTTTTTTTTTTTTTTTTTTTGTTTTGTTTTTTTTTTTGTTTTTTTTTTTTTTTTTTTTTTTTTGCAGCATGAAAAGTGAATTTCTTTCAACTCACAAAAGTTGTTCTTAGAGATGGCCTAATTTGTATTCCTACTTGTTTTCTTATTTGATATGTGGCATAACTATCTCAGCCATATAACAATTGACACATAATTTGACAGGCGTTGTCTTTGTGATGTTATAACTTTGCCAATATTTTTTAATAGGAATAAAATAAAAAAGAAGAAAAAATCAAAGAGATCGGAAAGCATTTCTGAAAGCAATGAAGAAACAGAAGTTTGGATTGAAAAAGATGGTAAATTTATTTATTTATTTACTTCATTTTGTAATTTTACATATGATAAACATTGGCTAGATATTCAATCAGTTAATTCTACTTTTCTTTATTTATCTAAAGTACAAATGTTTTAATGTCAACAATGTTATGTTGGTTTTAAATTATGCAATTTTTGTACATTTATTAATATAGATTTATCTTGATTTTCTGTTCCCAATATGAAATCTCATAGAATTTCATATTGAAAATACTAGTTTCAACTATAATTTCTATCACTTTAAAATTGAAGTATTATTGCTGATCCTTAATTTTTAAGCATAAAATCCTGACTGTTTTGGTTAGTTTTCATTCATAAATGATTGAAGAAGTGAAAAGGTAAAAATCAGACCTCATCATAATTGTCTATAATCTACATTCAAATGTTTACAGTTATAGATTATTTTTGCTTTTGCTATTAAAATTTTATTTATATAAGTGTTTAGATTTAATTTGCTGAAAGTTCTGATAGCCCTCAATGATATATATTGCAAATCTCTAGTTTTATATAACATTTTTGCCATTAACAAATTTCCATGTTTACATTCCCAGATTTTTTTCTTACCTTGAAGAGATTTTATATAAGTCTATATATACATATCATATCTATAAATCTAACTTGGTAATACTGGAAATATAGAACTCAAACAATAGATGTTAATATAATCTTTGTTATTGCTGCAACAAATCTATAGCGAAGAAAACGGCAACTTACCTCGTCAAACCAAGCGACAGCGCGTCGCGTGTATTCTACGACAGAAAAAGTGTCGAAAAAAAATTACTTACCAAACAAAAGGGGCAAATATTCCGCATAACATGCTGAAAATGGAATAATTGATTTAAAAAAAAAAAGAAAAAAAAAGTCCGTCGCAGGAGTTGCTATAAAAAGTATTTTGATATGCAAATTACGGAACATCCTATCCCAGCTGTTGACGAATGAAAAAATAGGTTCTGCCGCTAAAAGCAGTTGGTGTTCTCAATTCGAGAGCGGAAAATTCAGGCATTTTTGGCTACGGCGTTTGTTAGAGAGCGAGTTCTTTTCCTGACTGGTTACACGCATTGTGATTTGAGATAGTACCGGCGAATCGAGTTTTCAGCATTTCTTTCTGTCCCCGATATTCGAGTCTGTACTTACAGTGATTTTTCTTTGTGTTGTGGAAGTAATCTGCGACAAATACTTCCTTTGCTTTCAGAACGCTTACAAAATCTTAATATTGTTTAATTTCTTACAGAGTTAGAAAAGGAGGAAGAACTTGAAGAAGATCCTGTTGGCCCTACACCATTTGTACAGCAGACTGAAATGCAAAGCAAAATTAAGTAAGAAATCTCAGCCAAACATTTTATTATGAATATCTGACCATATGAAATATTAACATTAAAATAATGTGTTGAAAATGATTAAAGATTTGAATTAATATCAAGGATGTCAGTTGCTTTTAACAGATCTATAAAAAAAAAAATAACATTTGAAAATCACTATTTTCAGATTTTTCTTTCTTACATCATTTAAATCTTACTACTTATAAAACGCAGATTGTGTGTGTGTGTGTGTGTGTGTTTGTACGTTTATATATGTGATTGTATTTCCTACATTTTTCAACCGATTTCAACAAAACTTCACAGGACTACGTAAAAATACCTGGCGGTGGTTCTGACAGCGCCAAGAATTGGAAAAACACAATTGTTTTTGCACGAAATCAATTTGAAAGCACAGTTAAGTGTATCGCACCTGCCCGGAAGTTACTGCCGGCTACTCAAACGTCTAAATGCCGCTAAGTTCCGGTGACTCAGGGTTGTTTTCAGAGAATGATAAAAGTAAACAAATGAAACCTAAACATACACAAGTCCTCCTAACTAAAAATAATAACCGGAAACTACTTTAAATACACTTGGTGTCGAAATGAAACCCATGTGTACAGTCAAAATGTGAAAGTTAATTTTTAGTCATCAACAAAAAGATATTGCCAACCAGCTACGATGTTAACATCAGTTGCCATAAACACAGCCGATTTCTTCCAGCAAGAGAGGGTAATTTTTGTCCCTGCCCGAGTGTACACGCTCGGCTCCCCCACATTAATCCGACCTTGTGTGGGGAACGAGTAAACGCCGCAACGTGCTCCCCTCTCACCTTCACCTGGCCGACCCTCGTGGAAAATAAACCTCCTCATCTCAAGCGTTAATAAAAGCAAAATATGTCAGATTTATAGATTTCCTATTTGTCCCTTATCCTATTATTCTCTTGCATTCCTATCAATATTTGATCGTATATATATATATATATATATATATATATATATATATAAAAATAAATAAAAACAGATGCAAACTATGCCTGGAAGAAAAAATTTAAAATAAGTTTATATAGTCTTAAAAATAGACATTTATTTTGCATCAAACACTGAAAAATATGTATTAGGTTTGTAACTAGGTAAGTTTATATGTATGTATCTGTCTATTACTTTTATTACTATTATTATTACTTTAACTATATTATATATATATATATTTTTTTATTACTATTAAATGATGATGTTTAAATGAATAACATACATTGCATTTCTGTGATTTTTTTTATTACTGGTTGCGCAGTTAGTTTTATCCATAAAATTTTCCCCTATCTTCCCTTACTGCAATATTCTCAAAAAAATCTAAAGTAGGATCTGTAATGACTTCGGTACTTGACTTCAGCAGCTTTCTCACAGATGTCATGTGGCTTCCCTCTGTCTTTTCTACAAATATTTTCATGGCTACTGCACTGATGAGCATTTTTTCCCTGGTGTCCTGACTACATGAATTTAAGTGTACTACTAGATTGGCATCTAGGTCCCAACTTTTGAAATAGTTAAATGTAACCACCCTTCTAACAGTTTCTTTCCCTGCACTTCTTCATATTGGAACTCCATTCCTCTCACTTGCTTCCCTGATAACTACAATCATCAAAAACCTAAATGCAACATCAGTCACCATGTTTTGTTGCATTGATACCTGTTCTTTTTTTCCTTTCTTCAATCCCCCCTACACCCACACTTTTCTCTCATTTTCACTCCACAAACCCTGTGTGATAATGGCTCTTCTGACTTGCTTGGGGTGAAATGCTTAAAAAAAAAAAAAAAAAAAGAAACCCCAAAACATTGAATATAAAATAATTAGGGTACTGACAAAAGCATCTAATAAAATAATTAGGGTACTGAAAATAGCATCTACCACAATCAAAGGTAAAGCTCTCCCTACCAAAAGCTAAAATAATAATAAAGTGCCCACTACAATACAATATATATATATATATATATATATATATATATATATATAAGGCAGGATGTGTGTGTGTGTGTGTAACGAATGCACTGCCACAATTTTCGACCGATTTGCACCCAAATTTACATGCACATGCTCCAAGTTAGTGGGAAGGCCAAGACTGACTTTGCATTTCCCAGCTTCCATCAATAGTGGAAATAATCGATTTTTTTTTTTCATGCTTCTACAGCAGTTTTCATGTAGTTTGTAGCCATTTTGTACTGGCCAGAGTGAGAGCCAATAGCTGGCTCCAACGAATAGGCAGGAAGATTCTATTGGCCAGCATGAGAGCCAACAGCTGACTGACACGAATGTTAACTAGTATGCTAGCATGCAAAAAAAATCGATAGCTGCATTCGTCACAAGTGGGAAAAATTTAAATCTGCATGGCACTTTACTCCAATTGGCTCATTCGCTTGCTTAAACTCAACATTGATTCTGCAGAACTGGGTTGGGTGTGAAAAAGTATTTGTTAACATTCTTTTTCATTCAGATCTTCCAGTTACAAGTCCTTTTTTTTAAAGCTGATCGTTTTGTGTTCATTTTGTTTAGTTCTTTTTTCGTAACAGATTTAATGTTTAGTATAGAGCTTAGAAAAAATTTGCGTGAGATAAGGAAGAAGTAAAGCGTATAGCAACATCAGCACGGCAATGGGCACTCCTTTAAAGGCAAGGAAGGGCAAAAATATTTTAAGTCAAGTGATAACGATTGCTGTATGAGTGGTACGATTTTTGAATCAAGCATGGGCAACACCGGGCCATGCTGCTAGTAGCTTATAAAAGTAAAGAAAATGACTGAAAAGTTTGTTCTTGTTTTGAATCTCCAATGAACATTTCTTCTGAAATTTCTTTTTCGATATGCAATCATCATTTTTACTAGAGTACAACATATATTTTACTGTATCTCAAAGTTACTGTTGTTTCTACTAAACTTTTACAATTGCAGTTATGGTAAGGCTTTGCTTCCTGGTGAAGGTGCTGCAATGGCTGCTTACATTGCTGAGGGGAAGCGAATTCCTCGTCGAGGAGAAATTGGTTTGACTAGTGAAGAAATTCAAGCCTTTGAAGAAGTTGGTTATGTAATGAGTGGAAGCAGGTATGTAACATGACCAGTTCAGAAGATAATTTCCAACAAACGAAAAACTTTTTTTTTCTCTGAGTTTGTTCAAACTTCATGTTATTTATAAAGAATAATCAACTTAATTGAAATGTGTATATTTTATTGCTTTAATGAAAACATTTGGTTTACAAAATTTATTTTTTGGTTTAAATTTTAGCAACATTGAAGTGCTTAATAAATGTTTTTTATTTCAATTACTTCATTCTTAAGACTTATTTGTACACTTTTTCTATTGTAGACATCGACGTATGGAGGCTGTTCGATTGAGAAAAGAAAACCAGATTTACAGTGCTGATGAAAAAAGAGCTTTGGCAAAATTCAATCATGAAGAACGAGCAAAACGGGAAACAAAGATACTTTCTCAATTTCGAGAAATGGTGCATAAGAAGATTCAAGAAAAGCAATAGCTGATATTACCTAAAAATCTTGAAGCTGATTACAAATTTTCCCTTTTTTATTCCTGTCATTTTTTTCATCTTCATTTCTTATTTTGTGAAATTTTTATTGATTGTTATGTTTATTCTTGTAGAAAGATCATTTTCAAAAATTATTTTCTTTGCAAAAGATATTTATAACACTTTATTTCTGAAAGTGAACCTGATAATTAAAAATCAATGTTAATTTGAAAATACTATGATTGAAGCACAATCAGTTTTCAAACTGGGCTCAATGAGTCTAAATCATTCTAATTCATCTGGGTTTCTTGTTCATTAATTTGATGAAAATTGATCGATTTTTATATTTTGATATCTACAGTAATTCTATTATGAAGCAGATCTAAAATGATATTTAAAGAGTCTATCTTTTTCATTGTTTCTATCATTTCTTTTATGAATAACTCTGCTGTATAAGAGTAGTTCTTATTTGAAATAGGAACTCTTTTTTAGTTTGTTTTTTTTTTTATACTAAACAATAACTGGGAAATATGAAAAATCATGTTTCAATGGCAATGAAATTTTGAATTGTCATGAATTGTCTTCGTGCTCTTAAAAATAATCTGCTATCCAATGAATTCTTAATTGCTGTATAAAAATATACAAATATTAATTATACTATCTACTTTTATCATAACTTAATATTACCATTTTTTTGTAATTCATTTTATCAGAATATAATTTTTAAGTTAATTTCATAACACTGTACCTAATTTATAAATATATAAAATTCCAAATTACATTTATAGCTATATTTTTGGCAGTAGTTAATGTATTGAAATAAATCCATGCTGTTATTTTGGGGTAAGTGTGTATAATTCAATTGTATATAATTCAGATAAATACATATTTTTCACACGGTTGTAATTATATCATTTTCCATATCTTCTTTTTTATAAAGCTGTTGAGCTTTATAAAAATGCATTTTCTATGACATGCTTTGATGGTTAACTATAACAACAGATTGATGTCTTTGGCAGACCACTCTCCTTAAACTACCCACTCATTATTAACTCCTAGGGGTCAACATACATAGTTTCTTTTTCAGAAATCATTTATCATTTTCTAATTGCTAATTTCATTTGTTATACTTCATAGTTTTCCAGTTAGAAAAATAAAATGACTTATCCTAAGTTTTTCTTTGAAAGAAGAAAAAAGGACTTCTATCAAAATTTATGTAAATAATTACCTAATTTCTGTTTGAATTTTGACCCACAAATCATAAGTATTTTTTGAAAATATTTATAGTATCAACACATCATTGGTTCTGTTGTAGTTATTAAGAATGTAAACTAATATATATATAACTGTTAACATTACTTACATTTCAGAAGTTTAAGCTCATGCACCACTTGTTCCTATAAGAGGAACTGAGCACTTTGATATCTTTTCTAAAAGCTAAGCAATATTTAACTATTATACAGATCTCACTTTTTACTATATGAAACTTGTATTGCCACCATTTTTTTTTTCTTTTTAAGTAATATTTTCCCATAAGCTGTTAGATGAAAGTAATTCTGAAACAAGCCATTTTTTTTTTTTTATAAAGCAAAATAAAATTAAAAATGTAAAAAAATTTTTATCAATATTTTTTTTTTTTTTTTTTTCTGTTCAAAAGCTACTTCTAGTTATGTTATTTAACTTGCTTTCTAATTTTTTTAATTAAACCCTGCAAATAAACATTTGCTTCTGCTTGATTTACATCAGTATTTTTGTTTAAAATTTCATTCTCATCAGATAAGGCTAAGCTCTTCACAATGAACTTTGCTTTTAACTGACAATGATTTCACTCTTTCAAGGAGCAAAAATTTTGTAAAATCTTTATCAGAGCCCAGAAAGTTTCTAGACTTATCAAAAACCTTGAAGGCTACCCGTCCAGAAAAGTTTCTTTTTTTTTTTTTTTTTTTTTTTTTTTATTTTGTTACAATGATGTTCAGCCTGTATAAGGCTAAAGAAAGGGGTACAGTTTATGGGGATAAGAGGAAAGATAAGACCTCTAGACTTGAACAGATTAAAATTCTAGTGATTGGTGTAGCATCACCTTGGGAGTCAGTTCGGCTTTGTGGAACTAAGGAATGTAGTTTGTCTGAACACTTTCCACAGGAATAGCGATAGAGCAGCAAGAGGTTTGTGGGGTTGTAGAGTGGAAAATAATTTGTCACTCACAATGTCACGGGGATGCTTCTGAACTCTATCAAAACTGGGAAGTGAAGACTGGCTCCTGTAAAGGTATACAAAAGCAGGATTAGTCAGGTACTTACTGTGATTATGGAATGTCACTAGTTTTTTTTTTTTTTTTTTTTTTTTTTTTTTTGTTGAGACATTGAATGTAACCAGCCAGTTTTTCCCCACTGAGTTGTTAGGGCTAATTCAGGTATAATTATAATTTGTAAAATATTTTCTCAATAGGAAATGAAATATATAATTGTAGGATGTATGCTGATAGGCCTGTTTTTTTTAATTATGTCTTATTCTTTGATATTTAGTTTATTTGGGAACAAACATTAAGTAATAACCAAAGCTTTTTTGTGCTTCAAAATAGACTTTGTTGTGGTGTGGTGTAGGGAAATTCAAATTTCATTTATTTAAACAAAATGAATGACATAAGAATCCTGATGCAATTTATACATTTTTGATATTTGTGAGATTTTTGAAAGAATATAAGGGAATAAAAGAACAGAACTCAAGGAGACAAAAGATGATGATTGACATTGCATTTAAATTTCTGAAGATCATAGTTTAAAGGAAAGCAAGTAAAAATGAGAGAATTCCACAAGCAAGAAGCCTGAGAGAAGAAACTATTTGCATCGACCTATAGTTACATCTAAGAATTTCATCAGTAAAATTATGAGGCCTATTTAGCAGTCTAGTACTGTGCTTAAATTGATAAAGTCAAGGGGCCAAAAAGGAAAGCCCACCTGAACAATTTTCATATTTTTTTTTTTATTTTTTTTTTTTTAAAGTCAGAAGGAAGCCATGTTACAGCAGTGGGAAAGTGACTGAAGTCAAGATGCTTGATCATAACCAATAACATTACAGATTCTTCTTTGAATTTTGTCAAGAATCTCTAAATACATAGCAGAAGCACCAGACCAGATGTGGCAACTATATTCAATGCATGGATGTATGGTAAACTTATAAATAGACTTGTAAGATAAATTTTAGCAAGAAACTGTCTGTATTGACACAGTGAACTGGCTTTCCTAGTAACAGACCGAGCAATTGATTCAATAAAATCATTCCACTTCCTGTCCATGAAAAACATTAAACTAAGAAGGCACAACAAGTTATTCTGCTGGAGTCATTATTTACATTATTCAGACTATTGTCCTCATCTTTGTCTCCATATTTATTACAATGTTTCAGCAGTTGTATGCTCTGGCCTTCTTCAGGTGGTTGGAATATCAAACTAAACTCTTTATTTTGCTTGCTGGGGTAGACTGTCCTAGTTCCACATGCCATGTCTAATGGATGTCAGTTATCTCCTGCTTAATTCCCTCCAAGTTCTCTACCACTTTAACCAGGTATTGAACTCGCACTCTCGGGGGTCCTGTCACTAACACCTTTATCCACTGTGCCATGTGTCTTTGAGGACATCTGTGTATGAATTTCTGGGTATTATAAACCTAATGCCTTCAGCAATCATTTTTTTACCAGTGGTCATATCGCAATCTTTGCTGTTATCATTGCATGTTTTCTTTTTTTTTTTACCAGAGCTCATATTGCAATTTTTGTTATTATCACTTTTCTCTGGCACTCCTTATTACTGGTTCCCATGTTGTATTTATCTCTATGCTTGGTCAGCTCAGGAGATTTTTGTGGCCTACCATGTGCTGATTCCTTAAGTTTACGAATTTTCCGGTGGTGTTCTTTGTCTATGATTTCAACCTTATCCCACAAAGGGCAGTGATCTCCCTTTTCTCTCCATATGTGGTCAGACACGCCTGATTTTTCCACTTCCCCATCAAGGAATCAGGAAGTGTTAAAAATAAGCCATTTCTTGTCCCAATTTGACCTTATTGAACCTATAATGCCTTTTAAGATGGGACTAAATAATTATGTATCAGCATAAATAGCAAGCGGAGAAATTATTATATTGGAAGGCTGTTGATGAAAATTAGAAACAAAGTAGATACTAGGATAGAGTCCTGGGTGATACCTGCATTAATGTACAAAGATCTAGAATATTGGACGTTCAAGACAGCATTCATTTTGTCATTTGATATGAAAAGATTAAATCAAAAATCAACCAGAAATATAGCCATTCAACTTGTGAAGACTAACCTGCGATACCCTGTCAAACGCCTTCGAAACATCTAAAGCAACAACCCGAGTTTCATCATTCTTATGTAGAGCTTGGCAGACTCTTTTAGCAATAACATTTAACACATCGGCAGTAGACCTAGAGAAGCAAAAGTCATATTGCTTCTATGAAAGAAGCCCCTGCGATGTGAGATGCTTAACCAATTTGGAGTTTAGAATCTAGTACTTTAAGAAGAGGTAAAAGATAGTTCAAAGGTTCAGACGGTTCGTCCTACTTCTTAAAAACTGAAACTATAGAAGAGTTTTTTCCAAAAAGATTTCCAGCAAGGAACAAAACGTTTATTGTAGATCATAGAGAAAACAGGAACTAATTGCAAGAGTAACATCAAGTTGACATGTTGATCAAGTTTAGCGATTATAGCAGAAACCGTGGATGGAGTTATTTGTACATATTCTAAGCGAAAAGTCAGGCAAAGATACTCTAGATGAGTCATGAGATGAACTGGAAGAGTTGACGGGTTGAGGACACACTTTATTGAAAACAACATTACAGGCCCGCCAGTAATCACGAGAACCAAACTTGTAAGCCTATGCGGTGGTTTGCAATTATTACGTGCGGACACAAAAGGTGTATGTTGTGAACAGAGCTATCACATTGATACTGTCGGAAAAACTGAACAGACAGGAGAAGATTGTGGTTTCATCTTATA